CTAGCCATCAATACACAACTGAAAAATTGATATGTGAATCGAAAATATACCAGTATAACCTATGGAAATGTAACATTTTAGACTATAATCTTTTCGATTCACATATCAATTTTTCAGTTGTGTATCGATGGCTAGGGTTCAGTGTGTTCCAAAACAAAGCTACTAACATGATTTAGTGCAGTCTTTAATCATTCAGAGTGGCCGATGGCCATCAAAATGATTTTAGGCAATTTAGTACATTTTAGTACATTTTTAGTACTATTTTAGTACTTTTAGAAATTGGCCTGCAAAGTTTTTCAGCAGTACTACGAAGTTGCTTCAAACACCATTGCTCTATTTCGATCAGTTGAGGAGTTATAGGGATTCAAAAAATGCTCAAAAATGTTGTTTGGTAGCCAAATTTGATTTTCAGCCAATAAAGTGGACTGGATGTGGTTTTTTCGAGTTCATGTGTTCTAGAGAGAAAAAAATGTATTCCTCGTAAGTTATGGTCGAAAAACTGGAAAAATCTACCTTTTTTCGGACATTTAGCCCACTTGCACCCACCAAATGTGATTTTTTTGGTATAGTTTGTTTATAAAACTTGTTTATTGGACCGTTAACTACAACTTTGCTCAAGACAGTAACATGCTATCACCAATACTAGATGAGTTATTTACCAAAAACTGATGAAGTCAACTCTGGAAAATCCACTGAATCTCAAAAACTGCCTAGGTCGATAAAATGAAAACCCCTACTAAACTTTCAAAACCCATTTGGGGTTTTACTCAGCTATGGTAGTACTAACATCTCCACCATACCAAGTCTTGGCCCTTTGACTTGTCTTTAAAATTGTTGCACAGTGTTATTGAAAGAAAATAAATGAATAAACATTCAATTTTCGTGTGTATTTACTGTATTCTCTCTTTTTAACAAAAAGTGGCCAATCGTTCGGTCCGTTGAAGAAAATAGTTTGGACAGCACTGTTCTAGAGAGTTGTTTAATTTTTCTCTGGCCATGATTTTGGTGAAGAAAGTGAGTAAAAAAAATGTATTCCTCGTAAGTTATGGTCGAAAAACTGAAAAAATCTACCTTTTTTCGGACATTTGGTCCCCTAGCACCCACCAAATGTGATTCTTTTGGCATAGTTTGTTCACAAAACTTGTTTATTGGACCGTTAACTACAACTTTGCTCAAGACAGTAAGATGTTGTCACCAATACTAAATGAGTAATTGACCAAAAACTGATGAAGTCAACTCTGGAAAATCCACTGAATCTCAAAAACTGCCTAGGTCTAAAATAAAAACCGCTACTAAACTTTCAAAACCCAGCTAGGGTTTTGCTCACCTATGGTAGTACTAACATCTCTGATATGCCAAATCTTGGTTGTCTGACATGTGTTGCACTGTGTTATTAATTATTTTAAACAATCATGATTAAGTTGGTGCAGTTAATCACGGCGACATCGTGATTAATACAACAAGTAAATCATCGCCGATGATTATTTATTCTCTTGCACAATCACTTAATCATGATTAATTGCGATTAAGTGATTAAGTGGTCGTATTAATCATCGCGAATTTTGGGTGTTTGATTAAGATTAATTAATCTTAATCAGATAGTCCGCCCATCTGTAATGCGTTCATTTGTGTGAGTGCGATTGTGTAAACGACAATGTTCGTGTTCAATATGTGTACAATGACAGTTTCGAGCATTCCACGCGTAGAGGCGTCTCACGTCAAATCTTTCCCATGTATTTGTATACGAAGAAAGTGACCTTGGTGTAGGTTTTAAACAATTCCTCAACAGAAAATTCGAACGGATGTCTTTATTTTCTATTTCATTTCAGAATATCGTATAATAAACACAATTTTCAAAATAAACGATTAGAGATCCATTTAATACTTACAATTTTCATATGCTCCAAGCTAGGTAAAATTCTTGGATGCTCAGTTTCTTTTTTCACAACAAGCATTTCCTGGATAGCATTTCCAATATACTGGCCGGCTGCATTTACAGCTTCATTGAAAATTTGCCTTCCGGCTTGCTTGAAAAACCCCTGTCAATAATTCCCATTAAATATATTAATACTTTTAAATGTTGAATCGTAGCTTTTACCTTGAATTCATCCATTGTATTTTATGTGTGAAGTAGTTTTCTCCTATTAAAAATACATAGAATAATAAAAAAAATTGTTCGAAAAAAAAGTATTGAAAAATTTGGAATATATCGGAAAAGATATAGAAATAAATGTTTCATGAACGTCTTTGTCATTGTCTTCATGAACATCTGTATAATATTTGTCTAACACTTTTTACATGTAACGCTTTAACGTACAGAAAAATAATATATTCAGAATATAAGGACGTGAGATGAAATTATCGAACTAAACTTGAAAAACGCCTTTTAAACGAAAAAAATCAGAATTTCCATAGTCTATTGCAAATTTTGGAAAAAAGAGTGATTATCCACATTTTACGAAATATTTTTGCTACCTAACAAAAATGAATATGAGTAAAAATATGTAACTTAGATTGTCATCGAGATGTTAACTATTGGAAATATAATGTTTGAATTTGAAAAGACCTTGAAAGAATGACATCATTATTATTCATCATGCTTTAATTGGAAAACTATTCTTCGTCCGAATGGAAATGACATGCTCAAAAAATACATCTCACTATTATTCTCAACTAAATTGAGCAATTGATAACAAAACAATACCTATGTAAATTGTTTCGAAATAGAAATGTTTAAATCGCTATTTGTTCACTGCTTTTTATTTATAAACACTCGATTGTTTATTATTTGACACTAGAAATATTCGAGATTAAGATTGTTTAATGATCTGACAGCAAAGAAATGTCAGTATTACAACCACAAATATACGATAATAAGATAGTTCGTTTAGTGCAAAGCAAAGTTTTACAAATAACTTTAATGAATACTGTATAGTTGAAAATGAGTGCGTTCCTGAACCTTGGAATATTACAGTGTCTGATCATTTCGAAAGTGGTCATTGATACACATATATGGCCAAGATTTCTTTAAGCGAGAATTGAATAAAAATTGAAGTGCCGAAAAAAAATTTTGTGGGAGAAGAAAATGGAAGAATTGAAATGAATCATAATATTATATAATGCAGGGTGGCCCACTCGAAGTTTAACTGAAACAAAAGACTATAACTTTTTTTGTTTTTTGAGATTTGTTTATTGCTCTAAAGACAAGGAATGTTGGGAAATAATTAAAATCTTAGAACCACGAACAAGGGAGAAAGCAGTGATCAAGTACTGCATTCAATGCTGATTCAATGCCGATTTAATGCCAATTCACTACAACTAAATTCAAATTAATGCTATTCACTGCAATCAACTCCTGTCAAAACAGTAATCTAGTAAATGAATCGATGACAGCAGTGGATTGCAGTGAATAGCATTGTTTTGAATTTAGTGGCATTGAATGCAGTACTAGATTACTGCTTTCCCCCTTGACCACAAACCACGAAAGTGATTAGATTTTAGTTCGTAGAATATTATAAAAAAACTCCAGCTTTTATTGGACCACTATCACCCATGCATAACTCCTTTTGAAGGTCAGAACTGTGATAATCCCGAATTATTGGATTTTCTCGTCATTTTCTCCATTCTGACCTCAAAATAAGTAACATCATGTCAGGGGGATTGAAGATTGACAGTTGAGCTGCACAAAGATAGAAATGTCATGTCATATGGAGACGCCATTTTTATATTTGCTTGGGCGACTGGAGCGGTCATACATTTCTCATTCATTTTTTTCTAAAATAATATTATTGTAACAAATTAAATATTTTTCAAGTGTATCTTATTTTCATTATCTTTGTTTGGCACAATTATAAAATCATAAAAACATAGTTTCATGAGACATAACATGCGCGTTCTTGGAGCGGCCATCGAAATTGATTACAATAGTAGCCAACATTGATTACATCAATAACCAATAATACAGTGTAATAATTTCAACACCCAATTACATTTTTATTTGATGTTCTTTCTAAGATGAAGTGAAAAAAGCCAAATAATACTTTCGTATTAAAAACATCAAAGAGATAAATCAAATATTGATTCCTCAATAACAATTACCTGTGGCCGATCCAGTTGGAACGGCCGATCCAGTTGGAGCGGCAACACTCTGAATTCACCATGGAGCGGCTAGTATTATATATCAAAAGAAAAAATTCGACTAATGAAAATGTATAAAAAAGTAATATTCTTACATTCATTGATTAAATTAATTTCAGACAATTCAAATTCGTTTATTGTAGTTTATCTTTTGAAAAATAATATTAGCCGCTCCATGGTGAATTGTAGAGTTGCCGCTCCAACT